CACACACACACACACACACACACACACATACACACACACATAAATAAAATAAAATAATACAGAATTACATAAAAAGAAACAAGTACACACAGACATCTTTATAAAACGAGAGTGCACTCAAATATATTTTTGGCCAGGTTAAATTATGGTGACCTTTTTTAGGTTTGTAACTATGAGAGACTAGTCAGAACTTTTGTAGGTCAATTAGTAGAGATCTCTTATAAGAAGAATTTGGAAAACATAAAAACCTATTATTTATAGTTATATAGGGGCCGGGGAGATGGCTCAGTGGAATAAGCGCTTCCCTGGCAAGCGAAAGGGCCTGAGTTCAATCCCTGGTTCCGGGGAAAAAAAAAGAAAGAAAAAGAAAAAAAGAAAAAGAAGAATAAAAGAAAGAGGGGCCGGGGATAAAGCTCAGTGGCATAAGCGCCTGCCTGGCAAGTGCAAGGTCCTGAGTTCAATCCCTGGTACCGCAAAAAAAAAAAAAAAAAAAAAAAAAGAGAATTTTTTGTACTGGTATAGTGAGGTATAACCTACATACTATAAAATTTACCTGCTGTAAGATTATACTCTGATGAATTATAGTCAATCTAAATAGTTGAGTTACTATCACCAGTCTACTTTTACAACATATTCATTATCCTGAGCGCTCCCTCCTGTCACTCCCTGCTCCCACCCAAGTCCCAGGAAGCACTGTTCTACTGTTTGTCTTCCTAGATTTTCTTTTTCTAGAAATTTTATATAAATATAGTCGTTTTGTGCTTACCTGGAAAGTGCAAGGGCCTGAGCTCAATCCCCAGTTGGGGGGATATATATATATATATATATATATATATATATATATATATATATTAGTTTTGTGTAGCTTCTTTCAGCTTTAAGCCACAGCTACTTTGTTACATTGTCATTGCTGAGTAGTATTCTACCGTGTAGGTACGTTACATTTGGAGTATCTGTTTTCCAGGTGATGGACATTTAAGTTTTGTTCCAGTTTTGGCTCTAAGGCATAAGGCTGCTCTGAACACTGACTTGTAACTCAGTGTGGGCATCTGTTTGTACTTCTTTTTCACTTAATTTTAACTTCTTTTTGAAGCTTCAAGACAATGATTTTTTTATTATGTTCAGTTTACCATGTTTGACAATATAAATGGATTAATTTTAATTTCTGGTGTTAGACTGCTATGAACTGTTCATAAAGCTGGAGAATAGAGTGAGAGCAATATTAATCAGCACGTTGTCGCCCAGCACCTCCTGCCCGCTGCCTACCCCGCCAGGCCCAGGCAGCACACCCTTCCCCAGTCCTTCCTCCTTGGGAGCGCCTGCCTCCCGAGGACTGGGAGCCTCAGTCCCATGGCTGTCCGCCATCCAAGTCTCACCAGCAGGAACCTCATTTTTGCAGGAGGAATTTAGAGTAAAAGAAACGGCTTGATGGGCTGCCTTAAAAAAGAAAAGAAATTAGTCTTTTCTCTAAGAATGAAGCATCTGAAACTGTGCGTAAGCATAAGCATTCTTTTCTCGTTTCCCCGTCGCTGAAAGGTTGATTTGGCTAAAATTTCAAACCGTGCGTAACCAGCAGTATCTGATTGTAATTGGGCACCTTGGATCCAGTGTCACGGGCTGGTCCTCTAAGCCACTCCCTGCAGACTGCCCGCCGGCGATGACGAGGGTCCCGTCTGGACGCCTTCCCTGCGCGCCAAGGACACACAGGCGGCGGGCTCGGCGCTAAGCAGCCGCTGGTCTCTGCCGGGATCGAGGGCTTCAGCGGGCGCAATAGGGTGAGCAGCCCGCTTTGTCTCCAGGACCTAACATCTGACACACAGCAAGGAGAATCGGCTTTATTGTGGCTACGGCTTTGGGGGTCTCCCTCCATGGTCCACTGGCTCCAAGTCCACTGGCTCCAAAGCAGACACGCGTGGCAGCCGAGAGGCAGAGCGAGCTGGGGAAGAAAGGTTCCTCCTGCCAGGCCCCAGTCCCAAGAGCCACTGGGCTAGGAGCTCACCTATGGATGAGCCCACTAGGGCGCTCCGTGCCCCGTGCCCCGGTCCCCTAGGAAAGGCTCCCCTTCTGAGCCTTGGGGGACAGTTCACAGTTCAAGCTAACACTCCTTCCACAAACCCGCCCGCCGACCCAGGCTCGCGTGGCGGGCAGCTTCACAGGCGCGGCTGCGGGCCGGGCTCGGAGCAACAGCCCCCTCTGCTGGTGCCGCCCGGCTGCCAGCGCGCTCCCTCCGGGCCGCGCAGCCCAGGGCCGCCCATCGCGCGCAGGCCAGGCCTGAGCTCCCTGCCGTGGCCCGAAGAGCCCTCGCTTAGCTCACCCCTTGCCATTCTCTGCACTCATTCAGGGCCAACGTCCAGCCCTCCCATGAGACCTTTACACAAGCCGTTCCCCTGCTCTGCGCTGACTGGAGCGTTAGTCACTGCCTCGGCGACGGCCTCTCCCAGGACTCACAGTTCTAAGCTGGGTGCCCCCGCCCTGTGCACCCCAGCACCGTTTCCTGCTTCGGATCTAGCCGGCTACATTGCAGTGCAACCGCTTGCTGGCTGACCCGCCTTCGGGGCGTGGGTGCAGCACAGCGAGGGTGTCCACCAGCCGGGGACAGGAGAGCTGTTGAAACGCCCCTACCCAGTTCATCCGGGGATGCTCTGTGGCTTTCAGTTTTCCCTTGGCCCAGAATGACCGTTATTTCCACATTCACTAAAAAGGGCTTTCACAGCAGCTTAAAAGTTAAAACAGTTAATTACCTACCATGGCTCGCTGTGGCCACAGATGTACACTGATCACAGGCACAGAGCAAGACCTTGAAGGGTCCAGGCGGGCTTTAGCCACTCACAGATGAACCTGTGCAGATGGCTTTCTCTTTCAAATCTTCTCTTAATTCTCCAGTGCGTTCCAACTAGAAAAAGGGCTTTTTCTTTCTCTTGGCAGAACTGGGGATTGAACTCAGGCCCTTGCGCTTGCCAGGGAAGCACTTTATTCTACCGAGCCATCTTTTAGAGTGGGGAGGATGAAAGGATATAATTCCTTATCTCGAACTTTGTTAAGTATCAAAATATTTTCATTTTATTTCTACATTATAAACTTACAACTATGATTATCATGTTTTTTTTTGTTTTTTGAGACAGGGTCTTACTTTGTAGTGCAGACTGGCCTTGAACACTCCACACTCCTTTGGGACCTCACCTCAGCCTTGCAAGTGCTGGGATCACAGATGAGCACCCCAACACCCAGCTTATACACATAAAACTTTTACAGTCTTAATCACAGCTACTACTGTATTAAAGAAAAAAAAAAAAACGGAAGAAAAGACGACAGTTTTTGTTTTTTACAAAGTGCAGATTTAATTTTCAACTTGGCCTCAGTAAACATCTTATTTCAGGTCCTTCCCACCCCAATCCAAGGAAGGAAGGGAAAAAGCTACTTTTCATTTTTACTTAAACCTCTAATAACAAGAAAAAAAAAGATTTAATAAAGACAACTTTTTATAAGCATATTTCCAGGTAAAATTCCAAAGGACAACAGTACTGGGTGGGAAGTAACCTTTCATAATTAATATACGTAATAAAATAGTGAGTGCACAGTGTAGGCATCCATGCTGATTTGGCAATTTTAAGGTCTCCAATTATGATAAAAGTACACAACTGAACAAGAATCGCCTTGATACATGACCGAATCATTGTATTAGGGTTGGATGAAGATGGTCCTGGTTTTGGCCCCTACAAGAAGTTGATTCTCTCTCACCAACTATAGACAGCCTCAAGCTCAGTCCGACGGACATTACTGTTCAAAGAGGCTTCTTGCTTACTCTACCACACAAATACAGCATCTTCCCCAGAGGATAGGGCTAAACGAAGAGTACCAATGGCTTAAGTCTGCCGGGTGCTTACTTCTGTAGCAGTATAAATATGGATTATTAAAGATCTCTACTCAAGTATAAAGTATATGCAAAACTTTCAGAATATAGGCAAAATGCTCAAAGGCTAAGAAAAACGTTTTCTTTTACAAGAAAGTGCAACTGCAGGGTCTTTTGAATGATCTTCTAGATAGTTCTGCAGAAAACTTAGCAGTTTGGCTCAGAAAGTAGAATTCCTCATGAGGAATTAAAGTTCTTCCTAGAAGAATACAAAGCAAAATTTCAGGCAGCTTTCTGAAAATGAACCGTTAGTTTATGGCTACACAATGAGACAAACAGGAAGTTGTAATGAAGGCTTTCGCATGTGCTGCGGTCCGCACGGGACTCAACGGAGTTTTTCCCTTGCTCCAAGACACCAGCTGGCTCAGGGCGCCAGACACGGCCCTTACAACGCTTTGCCCAACTTGGACAGCAGGCGAGACGCTAATCAGCGGGGAGAAAATCACAAGTGTTTTCATGTTTCAGTGTTTTTCAGGTCAAATCTCAATACTTTCAAATAAACCATTTAAAAATATAACATCTCCTCTGTTATTTCCAGTATTTTACATAATTAATGGATAATCAGAATGAAAGGAGAGCTTTATAACAGTCACCAGCCAGACCTTCTGTCTCGGTCAGATTTTCAGCATTTGCTCAGCTGCTGCTAGGTGGTAGAAGAAGTTTTCTGTTGCTGGTGGAAATCGCTTTTGCTTTAATGCCTCAAAATTGAGGACTCTCTTCCCTCCATCGTCCACAACTTCTGAAAATGGCGCCAGGTTGGTGAAAATTTCTTTTGTTTTGAGGGCAATATCCTTCAACAGAACAAAAAAATATGTAGTATGTTTTTGCCATCGTAAACAGAAAGCCATTAAAAAGATTTCTCCAACCCCTCCCCTCAGAACTAGGGTGACTTCCATTTCACTTCTTGCTGTTAATCTGCCTGTTCGAGATACCTCATCTAAGTGGAATCATATAATGCCTGCCCTTTCGCAACTGGCTTTCTGCACGTGGCATTCTGTCCTAATGTCCTCAAGGTTTATTCACACTCTAACATGCATTAGAACATCAGTCTATTTTAAGGCTAAGTAAGACTCTCTTATTTTGTTTATCCTGTCATCTGCTGACTTCAACTTGGGCTCCTAGCCTTTGCCAGTCATGACTAGCACTGCATACAACACTGGCGTACACAAATCTGCTGGAGTCCCTGCTTTCGCCTCTTTGTGGTCTATACCTAGAAGTGTAATTCCTGGTCACACAGTCTTCTATGCTGATTGTTTTTTGAACAAATCTCTTCTCATGTGATCATTCTATGTTAATTGTTTCCTGGACAAAGCTCTTTCCAGTAGTAGCTGGCACTACCTGGAACAAGAAACCCAGCATCTGCCACGTGGATTTTATTCCTAGCCACTACCTACCACTCGCCCGGGCAGCTAAGGACTCACGGGAGCTCACATTGCATCGTAACCTTTTCCTGCCCTGGTGACATATTGACTCCCAACTCATTCAGATAGTTCTGAGCCCCTACAAAATGCTGGGCCTTCACTTTCACTTTCACCCCTCAAGGTCACATTCATTATACTCAATCATTTACATGTCACTTTCATATTTGATCTTAATCCAAAGGCTGAGAAAAATAATTCTAACACAGATAACCCAAAATTCAAATTTACATATTTCACCACCATTGTGAAGAATGTATTATCAAAACGCTGGGAGCCAAGGCTGGCTGGCATGAGAGGAAAAGGTATCTTCAGAGAGTCTCTGTGTTTGGGTTCTTAGGACAAGAGCTATCCACTCACTCGCCTGGTCACAGCTGAATAGTACCGCTGGCCGGCCCCTGCCAACTGTAACCACCTTATCTTTGTGCTCATGTCACCTCCTCAAAGAGCTGTCTCGTTCTCGCCCCAATATTCTCTACCTCAGTCCCCTGTTGCTATTACAGCATTTATCAGAGCTCACATTATCTTGTGGGCTGTTACTTTGTACTCATCTGCCCCACTAAAATGCAAACTCTGAGAGGGCAAGAACTTTGCCCATCACGGTACCCACGCTATCCACTGCTCAGTGAACACTTCTGAGTAAGACAGCAGCTAAGCAGTGAAAGGCATCATGTGGGACCTGCTTCTCAGAGAGGCCCCCTGGTGGCACAAAGGTGCAGAGACAGTGCTTCTGACAGTTCCAGGCCCCAAGGTCTGGGTGAGCAGGGGTGGGTGTGTGCTCCTTAAGAGGGGTGCAGGGAGCTGGGAGCAGGCTAAACACAAAGAGGCTATGGCAGGAGGGAGGGACACGGCATGCACAAGCCACATCCAGGGGATGGGCTTTGGCATCCCATGGAAAGACCCAAGAAATAAACAGCATTGGCTATCTCGGTCTGGCTAGGCCAGGAAAGGCTGTAGAGTGGTGTGCAGGGACCCTCCACTTGAGAGGAGCTGCGTCGCAGGGAGTGACAGCAGGCTGGAGTCCATGGGGACTGCTGTCCTGGAAACAACATAGCAGAGCTAAACTGTGACTACCTGTCCGGTTCTCCGTGCTCAGCAGCAACCCTGTACATGAAATTTTAAGGAGGAGGACATGTACTGGCTGGCCCAGGAAAGCACTCTTCTCACGATCACCAGCTGTTCCTAGGGCTCACAGCCCCTCACATGCTACTCTCTCACCGCAGTGGCTGAAGCGCCTGCCACTGGCCTGTCCCCAAGCCCAGCAGAGAACAGGCTACTCTGCCACATGCTGCCCAGCAGAGCCCTAGAAAGACAGCGGATCGCAGTTACCTGTATGACTTGGCTGTCCGACTTCTCGGGGTCTCCCGCTGACTGCACGATCAGCTGACCGATTTCTTTGTGCAGCTTGCCCATTGTCATGGACTCTGGTGAGCAAAAGAGGAGTGCGTTGTGTGAATGTTTAGAAGTTAACATAATAAAAAATAACTAGACATCTAGTAATTAGGCATCTAGCTGAAAACTTTAAAGACTAACTACAACGAGAGGATTTTCTACAAGCAATGGAGGCCTGGACATAGCTCAGCAGCATGGCACCTGCCTGCCAAGCACAAGGTCATCAGTTCAATTCGTGGTACCACCCCCTGCAAAAAAAAGGCAATGGAGGCCAGGTGCAGTGGCACACGCCTGTAACCCCAGCTGAAGCAAGAGGGATATGCGGGTTGGAGGCCAGCCTGGGCAACATAGTGAGTTCAAGCGCAGCCTGAATTACAGAGCAAGACCCTGTATCAAAAAGACAAAACAAGGACCAGGGAGATAGCTCAGTAGAATAAGCACTTGCCTGGCAAGCACAAGATCCTGAGTTTGCTCCCTGGTACCACAAAAATAAATAAATAAATAAATAAATAAATAAATAGAAATAAAAAATAAAACAAAGCAAAGCTACCCTTCACATTTCCATTTTATCATCAAACACAGTGGTGGTGACATGCTAGAGGTAAGGCATAATCACAACTTCTATGCTTTGTGGCCTACAGAAAACAGCAATACCAAACCAAAACTGCCTACCCAGCCCACTGAATAAGAACTATTTTTCTCTTTTGGGGGGTGGGAATGAGATAGGGTCTTACCATGTAGTCCAGGCTGGCCTGGAACTCAGGACAATTGTCCTGCCTCAGCCTCCAAAGTGCTAGGATTACAGGAATGTCCCACAAAACCAAGTTAAGAATTATTTTTTTTTTTGGGCTGGGGTGATGGCTCAGTAGAATAAGTGCTTCCAGTTCAATCCCCGTTTCCAAAAAAAATAAATAAATAAATAAAAAATAAACAAAAAACAAAAGAATTATTTTTTTAGGGGGCCGGGAATAAGCGCTTCCCTGGCAAACACAAGGGCCTGAGTTCAATCCCCGGTTCCGCCAAAAAAAACCCAAAAAACAACAAAACAACAAAAAAAGAATTATTTTCGTGCCAACTAAAGTTCCTGCTTAGGCAGAGTGCAGTGGCCTGGGTTTGATCCCCAATAAGCCATGCTGGCCCCGCCCCTGGGATGCACTGAGACAGCGATTGAGACTGGGCATAGTGGTGCGCGCCTATAATCCCAGCGCTTGGGAGGCTAAAAAACAGGAAGGATCACTGAGTCTGATCTGTGTAGTAAGACCTTGTAGACCCTGTACTAAATACAAAAAAAAAAAAAAAAAAAAGAATTATGTTTCTTTCCAGACAAAATTTAATGACTACAAATAAGCTATGACTTTAGGGGCTGCGGGGGTAGCTCAGCAGTTTAAGCACCTGCGTAGCAAGCCCAAGGACCCAGATTAGATCCCTGGTACCGTCTGCTAAGCGGGCCACTGAAACTGGGTGTGGCGCCAGAGCTTGTAATCCTAGCTCTGGGGAGGCTGCAACAGGAGCATCTGTGTAGTGAGCCCAAGCTTTTTGTTTCAAAAGATAAAAAGGCTGAATACTCCATACAAAGGTCCTGGGTCCCAACCCAGCCCTCCCACCAAAAAAAATATTGAAATGTGTCTTTCTGCTAGGAACGTTGTGCAAGAAGTGCTTCCCATCAACTCTACAGAAGCCAGCTGGGCATTCGGCATGTTTAGGCCAAGAGATGAGCAAGGCAAGGACAGAAGTTACACGAGCCACAGCAGTGTGACTGTCTCTTATAAGATTAGCACAACACTCGGGACAGCTCCACGGGAGTGGTACAGACTGAATGAGGAATGCTGGCAGTAGGAGATGGCCCCACTTTCTGGTCTTCATTGGAAATGTTAGCAGTTGAGAAGGCTATCAGAACAAGTTTTCTAATTTTGTCTTTATAAAAGAAAGTACTGCCTAAGACCTGATTCTACCATTTCAATTTTCCACATGAACTAGCATCGCTTGAAATTTTAAAACAATGAAAAATTTGCTGGCTTTATTCATATGAAGGCAACAGATAAAACTTCCCATGAGCCGGGCATGGTGGGGAACACCAGAGGAGTCGGAGGAAGGAAGATCACATCAAGTTTGAGGTCAGCCTGGGCTACCCAGCAAGTACAAAACCAGCCTGAACTATACAGTGAGACCCTGTTTTAAGAAATAAACAACAAAAACCACCACATGATCAGAGTCTATCTAAGTAAGGCCCCTAATGGGCCAGCACTCAGCTGCCCTCACTTGTAGAAAAAAACGTAAGCAGGGGCTGGAGAGATGGCTCAGTGGTCTAAAGCACCTACTTGAAACAAGCTTGGCAAAGCACAGGGACCGCGGTTCGATCCCCAGCACCACATGCCAGCCAGCCCCGCCCCCTGGTGGGCTGAGCTGGCCACACACACACACAATAAATAAATGTAATAAATAAAAATAAATAAATATTAAAAAAAAAAAAAGAAAAAAACTTAAGCAAACCCATAAAAGCTATTATCAGTGGTCCTGTGTGTAGGCTAACATGTCTAGATCTATCTGCAAAGATAAATGCTGCCTTCAGAATTTAGACACTGGGGCTGGTGAGATGGCTCAGTGGTCTAAAGCACCTACTTAGAATCAAGCTTAGCAAAGCACAGAGACTGTGGTTCAATCCCCCAGCACCACATGCCAGCCAGCCCCGCCCCCTGGTGGGCTGAGCTGGCCACACACACACTAAAAAAATAAATAAATATTTTTTTTAAAAAAAAGAATCTAGACACTGAAAACCCCCCCGGCCTGGGGGCAGGGAGGCTGCGGGAGGGCAGGCCTGACTGCTGGCTTTACAAGCAGACTACAACAGCACAACTGCTGGGTTTACATCCCCGTCACCAATGGAACAGAGCACTCACCTTTTGCAAGCGGAGCGATAGTGATTTCCCTCTCTGCCAGATTTACAAACACGTCATACAGATCCGGTCTATTGCTTACCTCCAGGTCAACAAAGCCCGCAACATAGCCTGCATTGCAAAGACGATCAAATTACTAGAAAGGAAGAAAATCACACCACAAACCTATCAAAAGACAACTAAGGCTAATGTTTTCCAGCTGCCTAGTGATTTCATCTGAGAACATTAGCTGTTTCCTGAAGCATTGATTAAGACTGTATTAGACCAGGGGCTGGTGAGATGGCTCAGTGGTCTAAAGCACCTACTTAGAACAAGCTTAGCAAAGCACAGGGACCTCGGTTCAATCCCCCAGCACCACATGCCAGCCAGCCCTGCCCCCTGGTGGGCTGAGCTGGCCACACACACACACAAATAAGTAAATAAATAAATAAATTTTTTTTTAAAAAAAGACTGTATTAGACTAGCTGGACATAGTGCTTGCAATCCCACCACTCTCAGGGGCTGAAGCAGGAGGGTCAAGCATTCAAACCTCATTTAGGCAACTTGGCCACATCCTGTTTCAAAATAAAAAATGGGCTGGTGCCAGATATGGTGCTGGGCCACTTAGGAGGCTGAGGCAGGAGAACTGCAGTGAGTTCAAAGCCAGCCTGGCTACACACTGAGTTCAAAGACAATGAGGACATAATGAGATCCTATCTAAAAAAAAAAAAAAAAA